GTTTTATTTTGGTTTGGGTTGGGGGGGGATGGTGTGGGCAATTTTGAACTATAAATTTAATTTCTTTATTGATATGGGGCTACATAGATTATTTCTTCATGACTGAACTTTGATAGCTGTTTCTTTCAAGGAATTTGTCCATTTTTATGTAAGTTGTCAAATTTTCTGCCATGTTTTTTTCTAATACTCCTTTATTATCATTTTATATTTGTAGAATACATACCAATATTCCCAGTATTGGTAACTTATGACTTTTTTCCCCCTTCTGATAGGTATGGGTAGATATTTATCAATTTTCTTGACTTCTTTTCTCAAAGGACATGCTTTTTATTTCACTGATCTTCTCTATTTTCTATTTCATTGATTTTAGCTCATAGGTTTATTAGTACATTTTTCTATTCATTTTGGCTTTTATTTGCTCCTTTTTTTTTTAAGTATAAAAAGGTGTAGGAACTTACCCTTCCTATCTAACAAATTTGTTTATAGCTGTTAAAAAATTAATTTTCCATCTAAGTACTGTTTTAGATGCATCCCACTGTTTTCATTCATTTAACCACTTTTTCATTTCCCTTTTGGTTTCTTAGACCCATAGTCTATTTCGAATTACATTGTTTGGTATCCAAATATTTGGAGATTTCCAGATAGCTTCATGTTATTGATTTCTATTTTAATTCTGTTGTGGTCAGAGAAACACTTTGTACAATTTGAATTCATCTTTATTGAGACTTGATTTCTGGCCCAGGCTATGTGGCCTATCTTGATAATGTCCCATGTGTACTTGAAGATTGTGGATTCTGTATTGTTTGGTGGTGCATCTTATGTCAGGTCAAGTGTTACATATCCTTACTGATTTCCAAATTTAGTAAGTTTTCAGTTTTTTCATTTTTTTTTTCCTATCCCTCTTTCCAAACCTTTCATTCAGTTTCTTTGGGGTGTGTGTGTGTGTGTGTGTGTGTCTTGATATGTCTGTCTGTCTTGATATTTTCCATTCTGTGTGTCCTTTTGGTAGTTTCTATTGTTCATTCTTCAAGTTTACTAGTCTTTTATTCTGCAATGATTTATCAGCTGCTAATCTCAGCCAGTATATTTTTCACAACAGTGAGATCACATTGGGTTTTTTTTTTTTTGTATCTTCCATAACTCTCCTTAGCATGCTCAATCTTTCCCCTTTTTGAACATATAGGGTATATTTGGGGTTGTATTTTCCTGCTTCTTTGTACACATGGTAATTTTTGTAGCTCAGGCATTTTGAATTTTATGTTGCTAGGTATTAGAAAAAATAAGTATTTGTTAGATTACGTTTATGTATGTCTAACACATTTATTACACACACATGCACATATACACGCACACACGTACATACATAGGGGATACATACATACTTACATTAGGGACCCTATCTCTACTTCACTTGAACAAGCCATTCACAGTGAATCGCTAGTTTTCATTTGCATTTTATTTTTTATACAGCTGACCAGGACAGAGAATCCTAGTCCCATGTTTTTTTGTAAGGCTCCCAGTATCTCAAAAACTACTGCAAACATCTTTAAAGCTAAATTAATTTCACTAGAAAAAAGGAAGGCACATGAAATACTTGAGGCATAAATACTTGGAAATTAAGAAAACCCAAGATCTCCATCTTGGGTTGGAAACAGTGGTTTGAGGAGCTTAAAAACTCCTTGTCCTGCTCTCATAGGGAGAACTCTCTAATTCCCCAGCTTCATAGCACGTCATGATTCCCTGAAAGGCAACCCAGAGTGTGGGCCTGGGTAGTGTGTAGTCCCTGGGGCTGGCTGTGACCAGCTTCCTTTAAAGAGCTCACCCAGCAGGGGCATATGGGCAAAGTAGGAGATTGAAAAGCCTCTGAATTGCCTCCCTCCCCCTTTTGTATTAGATCATAGAAAATCACTTTGCTGCTGCAGTGAGCCACCCGGGAAAATCTCTCTCCAGGGTGCTGGCCTGCCAGGTGCACCCTGTTCTCCAGTGAGGCCAGGAAAGGGCCCCACAGCAAAACAGTGTCTAGCTTCACAGCTGGCTGGCAGCTTTGCTTAAGTTGGTAGATTGTGCTGTGTAACTCTAAGAGCTAGAAGGTATTCCCGAGCCAAGGAAAGCAAGAAACTACACTTAATCTGAATCTCTGAGTGGTCACCATGATGAATGTGTTAAAGACTTCAGGGAAGGGGCGCCTGGATGGTTCAGTCGGTTGAGCATCCAACTTTGGCTCAGGTCATGATCTCACGGCTCGTGAGACCGAGCCCCGTGTGGGGCT